ATTAAAATTAAGTTAACAATAAAATTAACATGAAACAAACTGAAAAATAATTAATTAAATTTCAATTTGATTCTAACAACATTAAAAATTAAACTAACAATTTCTTTTACAAAAACAAATAAAAACACATGAAATGAACTGAAAAACAATTAATTAAATTTTAATTCGAATCTAACAACGTTAAAATTAAACTAACAATTTCTTTTACAAATTAAACTAACAATTTCTTTTACAAAAATAAATAAAAACACATGAAATAAATTGAAAAACTAATTAATTAAGCGATAAGCACGAACAAAACAAGAATCAAACATTTATCGATTTTTAAAATCCGAGAATATCAAAACAAAAATACGGACAAAAGTGAAACTCAAAACCCACTAACAGGATCGGAACCACGAACAACGACTGACCAACGACGAACTCGAACTGTGTATGGACTGTTTCGACAAACCCCGACCAAAGTGAAGCAGCGACGAGCTACTGTGATGGAGAAGTCGAAGAAGAAGGCAGCGTTTGGACTGTTGTTCGCTGGACGAAGCAGCAGGCGATGGGGAAAGGCTGTTAGTGTTCGACGAGCAGCAGTGTTCGATGAAGGAGCAGGAGTGTTCGACGAGCAGCTGGGGAGGTGACGGAGGCAGTCATGCGACGGGGAGAGGCAGCAGCTATGGTGGCCTGGTATGGGTGGTTGGGAGGAGCTGCTCGGCGCCTTGGCTTGGTCGTAGCAGAAGCAGCAGGAAGCAGAAGTAGATGTTTGGACACCACACAATCGAGCTTGGAGCTTACGTCGTTCATGGCGGACGAAGCAGTGGCAGTGGTCGTTTGTGGCTGGTCGTTGTTCGTCGAAGAAGTAGTAGAATGGGTTCCGTTTGGACGTAGCAGAAGATGCAATGGTGAAGCAACCATGGACGTTGGTTGTTTCTGCCATGGATGTCGAGACGAAGCTCGAAGGTGGTCGTTTGGTTTTAATGGCGGACGGGGGGTCGACTTGGGTGGTCCGACGACGGGGGAAGCTGGACGAAACAGCAGGGGTCGTTTGGGCGTGAAGGAGAAGACGATGGAGGCTCGGGCAACCATTGAAGAGGGAGCTTGGAGGGTTTTGGGGTGTTTGGGATGGTGAAGGAGAAAAGAGAAAGAGAGGGGGCGGATGGGTTAGTTTTTTAGGGTTTGGGTTTTTTTTTTGTTTTGTTTTTGTTTTGTTTTTGGGAAAAAATGAAAAAAATGAAGAGGGGTTATGGGGCGGACCGGGTTGACCCGTGTTGAGATGGACCGGGTCATGGGGAAGGTTGGGTATTTTTTGGGCCTGTGGTTTGATATTGAAGAAGAGGCCCAATTCCGATTTTCTCTATATTTTTGCTCTCTTTTCTCCTTTTATTTTTCTAAAACTAAATTCTAAAAATCCTTAAATTAACATATAGAACTAAATTAATTTATAAAAGCGCAAATTAACTCCCAATAATAATTAACACACAATTAAGTAATAATTAAGCATGAAATTGTACAATTGAACATTAAATGTTAAAAATGCAAAAGATGCCTATTTTTGTAAAACAAACTTAATTACTAACAATTGTAGAATTAAATCCTACATGCAAAATGCGACATATTTTTGTATTTTTTTATTAATTTAACAAATAAACATGCACATACAAATACAAATAATTATCCAAAAATGTCACAAAAATTCTCAAAATTGCACACCATGGAAAATTGTTTTATTTGGAATTTTTGGGAGTAATCCTTTCAAAGGGCAAAAATCACGTGCTTACAATTACGTATCCGTTTTGTGTGTTCTTCTCGATTAAATTGTGGTATTGTTCTTTTGCTGATTCACAGTGCAGGCTTATCAGTAAGCATCTTTTAACTAAAAGCCTCGTCACTACTTCGACGAGGTTAGACAAGATACTTACCAGTACATGGGGTCGGTTGTACTGATACTACACTTCTGTACATTGCATATAGATTTTAGGAGCAGAGCTGCTGGCGAAGTCGGGTGTTGAATCTAAAAATGTTCATGCATTCCGGATATAGCTGCCACTTATCCTTGGTAGTTTAGGTTTTGCTAATCTGTTTATGTAACTTTCAAACATAACGTGTTATTATTTGTATCAGTTTTGCAAATTCCATATCTTAGAAGCTCGTGATTCGTACTACCAGTTCTTGGGTCAATTTGTAAATGTTCAGATAATTCTTTACTATTTTCCTCTAGCCTATTTTGGATTGTATTTTCTGTTAGTTGGCTTACCTACTGGATCAAGTTAGGTGCCATCATGACTAGTGATTTTTGGGTCATGACAGAAATATTCCCCAACCACTTGGGATGAAATACACAATGCCTACTGTGCCGAAGTCCGTGCTGACAAAGACGACTTGAATGGGCCGACCCAACGGTTGACCTCGGTACAAGCCGAGTCCAGGAAAGACCAAAGAAATGATGCCAGATGAGATTTGGCAGCTCCATGACCCAACCGAGAAAGGCATCAACCAAATATAAGGGGTGCCATCATGCCCCCCTCTCGTCACGAAGTCCATCTAGGCCAAGGATAGGGACTCACCGGAGCGAGAGAGGTATGCCCCCTTTACTGTTTTCTCACAATGTTTTTGTTTCCCCTTCAGAAATAGTCTACGCATTGGAGAAGCTCGACCTGAAAGTGAAGTGGCCACAAAAAATGAGGTCCGATCCAAGCACCAGGAAGTCGAATGCCCTCTGTGAATTCCACCAGGAGCGAGGTCATAAAATCGAGGACTGCATCGCTCTAAGGCAAAAGGTCGTGAATATGCTTCACCAAGGGCACTTGAAAGAGCTGTTAAGCGACCGAGGAAGGGCCAACTTTGCCCCGAGGACGTGAACAACACCAGGGTCCACCAAAATCACCTTTACCAACTCGTACCATCCAAATTATCATCAGAGGCGACGATGATGCATCGACCAACAGCGTAAAGTTCACCACGACCCACAAGCTCAAACGGTTGATCACTCATGAATGGTACGATGAACTCGAAGAAAGTATCATCTTCGATAAGTTAGATACCCATGGTTTGGTTTTCCCTCATTACGACACTCTTGTTATCATATTACAAATATTAGATATAGATGTAAAGCGCATTATGGTGGACGATGGGAGTGGCACGTGTATTATCCACCCTCGAGCACTTGCACAAATGAAACTCGAGGATAAGATAGTGCCACGCTGCATCAGGCTAACCAGTTTTAACAATGTAGTGGAATGAGCATCCAGAGAAATCACACTCCCCATCCTGGTCGATGGCATCACTTTGGAAACCACTTTCCACATCATGGACCAGGATACGGCGTATAATGTCATAATAGGTCGACCCTGGATACACGCCATGAAGGCCATCCCCTCCAACTTGTACCAAGTAATCAAATTTCCTATCCCATGAGAGTTTTCAACATTCGAGGAGAACAACGCACTTCCCGAGAATGCTATTGCATCGCCCAGGATTGCACATACACCCAACAAATGAAGGGCAAAACAAAAGAAGCATAACAATTAACAGGGTCGAGGTCGAGCATTGATGGAAAGGAGGATGTCATCAAAGACCCCGAAATAATAGAGGCCATGGGAGCAACCATAGAAGACCTCGACCCCGTCCAGCTTGATGATAATGACAGCAGCAAGAGAGCCTACATCGTCTACAAACTTCAGGAGTCAGGTAAGTTCTATCATTTCTTAACTAGTAACCCAGACTTGTTTGTCTTTTCCCATGCATACATGTCAGGTATGTCAAAGGAGAACGTTGATCCATTTTACCCCTGGTACAGCAAGTTAGGCAGAAATTCAACTCCGCAATAAATGATGCAGTCCACGAAGAGGTTGAAAAATTGCTAGAAAATGGCTCAATCAGGGAATCAAAATAGCCCCAATGGGTTGCCAACGTGGTCATGGTGAAAAAGAAGAACGAAACATACTCGAGCTATAACCCGCTACCCCATATAGAATAGCTCATTAACGTAACAACCGGGCATGAACTACTGAGCTTCTTAGACGCATACTCGGGCAAAAACCAGATCCTCATGGCAGAGGAAAACCAGGAGAAGACCACCTTCATCACCCACCAAGGAACGTATTTCTACAAGGTAATGCCTTTCGGACCGAAAAACGCGGGTGCAACATATCAAAGGTTGGTGACAAGAATGTTCAAAGACCAACTCGGCAAAACCATGGAGGTCTACATAAACGATATGTTGGTTAAATACAGACGGAAAGAAGAACATATCGACCACCAAAAAGAGGCCTTCGACATACTCAGGCGATATGGGATGAAACTAAACCCCGAGAAGTATACGTTTGGTGTAACCTCAAGAAAATTTGGGTTTCCTAGTATCACAAAGAGGCATCGAGGTCAACCTCGACCAAATCAAGGCCATAGAAGGAATACCAGAACACTTAATCAGCAAAAAACAAGTTCAGAAGTTGACCGTCCACATCACCACCTTGTCGAGGTTTATCTCACGATCGTTTGATAGGTGTCATAAATTTTTCCGCGAGCTCAAGAAAGACAACGGTCTCCTATGGACTACCGAGTGCGTTCAAGCCCTGAATGAGTTAAAGGATTATCTATCATCACCACCATTGCTCACCAAAGCAGAACCTAGAGAATGTCTCCTTCTCTACCACATCGTATCTGAAGTAGCAGTAAGTGTAGTCCTGGTCCGAGAAGACAAAGGTACGCAATCTCCCATCTATTACATCAGCAAAACCTTAATCGACGCTAAGAAGTGGTACCCCCACCTCGTAAAACTGGCACTTGTCTTAGTCGTAGCTTCACGGAAGCTTAGACCCTACTTCCAGTGCCATCCTATCTCGGTAGTCACAACTTTCCCCTTAAGAAGTATTTTACATAAACCCGAGCTATTGGGAGGGTTAGCTAAGTGGGCTATAGAACTGAGCGAGTATGATATCACGTATCAACCACGGATGTCAATTATATCATAGGTCGTCCCCGACTTCGTCGCCGACTTCACCTCAAAAATAATGGCCAAAGTTAAAAAAGAAGTCGCCCGCATTTCTCCGCAAACACGAGAACAATGGATTTTGTACATCGACGGCACTTCCAATGCATCTGGATCTGGACTGGGACTCGTACTCGAGGTTCCGACAGACGAAGTAATTTGCCAGTCTATAAGGTGCCCGGACATGACTAATAATGAGGCAGAGTATGAGGTCGTGATTGCAAGATTAAGGCTAGCTCTCAAGTACGGAGCGAGACAGGTCATCCTACGTTGCGACTCACAGCTCGTTGTCAACCAATTCATAGGGACTTTCCAGATCAAAGAGCAAAGGCTGCAAAAATACCAAGCTAAAATCTACAAATTACTGCCAGAGCTTGATGAATACCAGCTTGACTAAATCCATCAGGCACGAAACACCGAAGCCGACAACCTCACTAAATTAGCAGCAACCACCAAAAGTATTATCGGCGAAGGAAATGTGGTCACCCTCCTCTACTCTTCGATTGATCAAATTGAGGTAAGGACTATAAATCTAACTTGAGACTGGCGCAACCGTATCGTTACATACTTGCAGGATGGTATACTCCTAGATGACAAAAAAATGCCAAGAAACTTCAGATGCAAGCGGCCAGGTATATCATCATTCACAATTATCTATACAAGAGGACGTACGGCGGCCCCCTAGCGAAATGCCTAGGCCCAAATCAAATACGGCGCGTCCTAGAAGAAGTCCATGAAGGCCACTGTGGGGATCATTCCAACAATCAAGCTTTGGTCATATGCCTCATACGGGCAGGTTACTACTGGCCTACTATGAAAAAAGAGGTCGCGTAAAGATGCGAGTAGTGCCAAAAGTATGCCCAATGATCCACCAAGCAGGTGAATACCCCCACTCGGTCAATTTCCCGTGGCCTTTCATCAAGTAGGGGATGGACATCTTCAGCCCTGTTCCCACAGGACGAGATAATGTACGCTTTCTTCTGGTTTTAACTGACTATTTTTCTAAATGGGTTGAAGAAGGAGCATTCGCTCAGCTATGCAAGCAGGAAGTAATCGCCTTCATATGGAAGAACATTGCATGCCGCTTCGGCCTCCCCAAAGATATCAGTTGCGACAAGGGGCCTCAATTAACTGGAAAAAAGGTCACCAAGTTTTTCGGCAAGTGGCATATCAAAAGAATACTCTCCACCCCATACCACCCCACGGGCAATGGGCAAGCAGAGTCCTCCAACAAATCAATACTGAACATCATGAATAAAAAACTTGAGGACACCAAGGGACTGTGGCCAAAACTACTGCCAGAAGTGCTATGGGTATACCGCACAACGCCAAAGGCAAGCACATGAGAGACACCTTACTCATTAGTCTATGGGACTGATGCAGTAATACTAGTCGAAGTCGGAGAGCCCATTTTGTATACTCCCATGAAAGCGAGTCGAGGAATGACGAAAGCAGAAGGCAGGACCTTGACGAAGCAGAAGAACAGAGTGATATGGACTACATAAGGATGATCGCCCAAAAACAACAGGCAGAACGCTACTATAACAGGAAGGCCAAGGTCAGACCACTCAAAGTTAGGGACTACGTGCTCAAAGCCAAAACACAAGCAAGCAACGACCCACGAGATGGGAAACTAGGAACAAATTGGACGACCCATACAAAATCACAGTAGTAACAAACAAAGGGTCATTTCAACTAGAAACAATTGAAGAAACACCGCTACCAAACAACTAGAACGTCGCCCACCTCAAGTACTTTAACTTTTAAGAACAAGAGTCATCCAAGTCGTACTCTTTCTCCCTCGCTTGAGTTTTGTCCCAATTGGGTTTTCTCAAGGATGGTTTTAACGAGGCGGTAAGGGGGAGACTCCAAGCCGAAGTACGGACGAAAAAGGAACGAGATGGTCAGTTCATCGCCCGACCTCTCGACACATCTCCAGGTCACCAATGAAGGGACTAGATAGACCGAGTCTGGAATGCCAGCCTGAAAAATATGTAAATTTTTCCAAGTATGAGTGAAGCACAAATGTAGGTTTGCCCACATTTCCAAAGCAACATTGCCTTAATATCTACTTGGCCCATGGCCACAATCGAGTAAATAACATTTGACCTCGTTCGAATTAACTTACCTTCGAATTAACTAAAGTGATATTCAACCTTGCTCAAGTTAACTTACATTCGACCTCATTTGAATTAACTAAAGTGACATTCGACCTTGCTCTAATTAACTCACATTCGACCTCGTTCGAATTAACTAAAGTGACATTCGACCTCGCTCGAATTAACTTACATTCGACCTTGTTTGGATTAACTAAAGTGGCATTTGATCTCGCTCGAATTAACTCACATTTGACCTCGTTCGAATTAACTAAAGTGACATTCGACCTCGCTCGAATTAACTTACATTCGACCTTGTTTGGATTAACTAAAGTGGCATTTGATCTCGCTCGAATTAACTCACATTTGACCTCGTTCGAATTAACTAAAGTGACATTCGACCTCGCTCGAATTAACTTACATTCGACCTTGTTTGGATTAACTAAAGTGGCATTTGATCTCGCTCGAATTAACTCACATTTGACCTCGTTCGAATTAACTAAAGTGACATTCGACCTCGCTCAAATTAACTTACATTCGACCTCGTTAAAATTAACTAAAGTTACATTCAGCCTCACTCGAATTAACTCATATTTGACCTCGTTCGAATTAACTAAAGTGGCATTCGGCCTTGCTCGAATTAATTTACATTCGATCTTATTCGAGTTAACACCTACCAGCCACGGCCATGACCAAAACCAAAATTCTTATGGTTAAAACGACCAAACGATAAAAGCTACAAGACCAAACAGAGAAAATATTTAGAAACGAACAATGAAAATAAAATTTCATACTTCAAAAATATTCTTTACATGGGCTAAACAGATGCCCACAAAAATGTGCACAAAAATTACAAACCAAAGGAAAACCTACTCGCCACCGGACCCAGCAACGCCATTTCCACCTTCGCCATAAGTATATTCTTCCTCGTACCAAGCATCCTGCTCAATCCCATCCAAACCCTACTCGCTATCGCCGGTCTCCGGTGTAGCAGGGTCATAGCCGCATGCGATCCGAGTTGCACAAGCCTTAGCGCGTGCATCCTCAAAATCAGCCTCAAGGACTCTCCCTGCATCATCAAATATTCGAATATATACAGCTGGGCCTTAGCATGGATCCACTTCTCATATAAATCCTACGGGACATCAGGAAAGGCAGAAGCATGAGAGGAGGACGGTTGAGCCAATAGTCGAGACTTCTCAACTTCAAGAGCGGCGACTTGGTCTTCAAGACTAGAAACCTCTTTTTCTAGATCCCCTCTTTGCTCATCAAGACGAGTTTCCCTGAGCTTAGCCATCTCCAAATCGTTTGCCTTCTCGGATCGAAGAAGGCGGATCGCATCCTCCAAAGCCTCAACTTTTGTCGAAGCTGCCAGCCTAGCCAACTCGGCCTTCTCCAAGTCAACCGCCCTCTTAGCAACCTACGCTATATTTTGGGTAACTTCGCCACTCAAAGACTCGGCCCTACCCAAACATCGCTTGAGTTCGTCCTTCAAAGATACCACTTGGGCCTGAAGGTCTGCACATTGGACCTCAACTCCCTTGCTCACTTTGAGCTCCTATACTTTATCCCTCAACGCCCCTTCGAGGATGTTGCATTTGCCGATGACCCTTATCAGCTCATCATCTTTCTACTTCAGCTCGTCCTTATTGGCTTGGAAGTTGCCGTTCTCGCCAAACCGCCTACAGATCTCACAGTACTTGGTGCGGTACTTGGTGCGGTATTTGAGGTACTTCCTCTCCATCTTATTAAAAATGGTCCTGCGTCTCTCTTCTCGGCGAGAACTCTTAATATCCAAATTAATTATCTAAAAGAAAAGGAGGAAAAAGAAGAAAATCAGAGTAAAATGTAAGGCATGGAAATCAGAAAGGTTGGAAAACTTACTCTAAGGGCGAGGCCGACTATGCCCGACGACAGGGCTGCATCGTCCGATGTCCCGAGGGTCCTACCCTCCACATCATAGCAAAGGGAACCTAAGGAGTGGACTATATCTTCTATATTTACCAGCAAGTCCCGATCCATAGGGACCACGATGGTCCTAGCGGACCCATCCAACCTAACCTCAATGCGAGTGAACCCCTCGCTCAGCATTTGGACCTCGTCAAGATCTAGATTAGACCTGTCACATATCCACCCTCATTAGCCCCTTTGCCCCTTTAATGAGTAGACGTGGTGGGAACATTGACTAGCCTAGAAGGCGATGGCTCATCTCTCGGTACAGTGCTCGTAACTTCTACCGACGACCTGTCAACTCCAACCCCAACCTCAGACAAAGGCATGCCTTCCATAACTCTTGTTGATAGTGGGACTTCAGACGCTGGGACATCATCACTTTCCAACATGGTAGTTGTCAACTCAGGATCATATCTCGAAGGATCTACTGCTCGGATGGTTCCATCACCACATCCATCGATCTCCTTTTGCAAGGAATCAAATCTCCCTTACTCGGCGACGACTCATCTATCAAGTGCAGCATAGGAAAGACCGGAGTCTCTGCTGCTGAAGATGCCAACGGTCGGCTAGAAGTGGTCAACTGTTTAGGCTTGTCCACAGTTACAGCAAGGGCGGATCCCATCGTAGCACTTATTTGATGGAATGCAGGAGTAAGAGCCCTCGACCTCCTCGAAGCTCTCCGACCTGATGACAAAAATAAGGTTAATAAGTCAACCCCCACAATACGATAAGAAGCGACAAAGACTTATAATAAAACAACTCACTGGTCGCTAGAAGCTTGGGTCCAAACTTCTTGTGTAAAGCCGACCATTCACGGATCCCCACTATGTGGGGCAAGACCTAACTAACCCAATCATGAATATCTGCAACCAATGGAGGGGTCTTGACCTCAGCTGAACAAAATAATAATCATAATATAGAACGATTACACTACGGCCAAAACAAGCAAAATAAACACTCTGCAGAGATACTTACAGACATAATTCCACGCCGTGGGAAATCCATTGGCATTTGTCACTACGTCCTCAGTCTTGACGTAGAAGAAGTTTAGCTGGAACCGAGGATTGGCTTTATCGTCCATCTTCACTACCAGGCTCTTGCTTCCATGAGACATAGTTTTAACATCATCCCCCTATGGAAATTGGGCGTGAAGAGATGCATTAGGTGGAGAATAGATATTTCGCGGCTGGCCAACTCCGCATACTTTGTCAGTATAAGGATGAGTTTCTGGATATAAGGGGAAATCTGGGTCGGGCAGACACCGTAGTATCGACAGAATTCCTCTACCAATAAGGGAAGAGGAAAAGAATAGCCCACATAGAATAGATATGCATAGAATGCGCAATAT